CCTGGCGAGGCGGGCTGGACAGGCAGAGCTCAGCCGCGCCCCGCGCCCCCCCCCAGCCCAGGCCGCACGGGTCTCGCCTTCCCTCTGCCTGTGGGCCACTGTTAGCCAGGATATTCCTGTAATTATTTCTGACCTGGGACTGGGAAAGGCCCCGCAAAATCTTCTGGGGGCTGCCTCTACAAAGGAGATGGCTGCCTCAGGATTGACGATGCCTTTCCCGTTTACCTCACCTAACCCCAAGGTTAGAGGAGGATTTGCTTTGGTTAACGAAGGAATTACATTGTGTTGGGGGATGGAAGAAGGATTAAGCTTTTCTCTGGGGGAAGTGGAGTTGTGAGAGAGAGACACTGGGACGAATCAGACATGGTAGAAAGACAGGACTGGAAAGGGAACAGGTGTCCATGTGTATTAGGGGCATGCGGCCAGGGGTTTTGAGGCCAGCAGTCAATTAAAGCAGAACCTTTATGCTATTAACAAAGGAGGCCGCCTTGGTGGAATGGTAATCTCAGGTTAGTCCCCTTCTATTTACAAAGAACAGTGTCTGGGCTGAATAGCTGGGCATCGTGGTCAATTACTGTCTCATAAAGCCTGTAGACACTTTCCAGACATTTACTTAGGGACCATGTAGGTCTCTCTTTAAAATTCAGTGTGCTGGCCTGACAAACAGGTGGAGCCATGCTCCACCGAGTGACACACGGCCTCTTTTTTAAGTGCAGTGTTTTGTATATTTAGCTGTGTGCAGGCTGTGGAAAGAAGGGCTGCTGGGAAGGGAAAGTGATAGGAGGAACACGAGCTGATATGGCAAGGTTGTCATGGGTGGCTATGATGAACTGTTAAAAGCTTTTCACATGAGAGAAAGTGCATGACATGAAGGGGGTCAGTGAAAACTGATGAAGGTTAAGAAATTGGACACCATCACAGAGGCTGTAGCAACAGGAATAAACAGTGTCTGTGAGAACCAGATCTGAAATGGACAACCCCAGTCTGCTTCAAAACAAGAATATAAATAAATGATTCTGGCAAAGGAACAGAGGCAGCTTACTACAGTGCCTGTTACCCAGCAAGCTGCTGCTTTGAAGTTTATATCAGCAAGTGACTGCTTCTTTGGTGTGAAAGTCTCGTTTTGCATGAAGATAGCTTTTTGTGCAGTAGCTGGAATTAAGTCAGCTTCTTGGAGAAGCAGTTTGGGCTGTGTGCAGCTCTTCTTCTAGGTCTGCTGTGTTGATACTTGAGTTTGATTCTTGGCACTGTCTTCATTTCTCATGGTTACTTTCTCTTTTTGAAAAGATACCAGAAAATTGGACATGTGAATTCAAGTGTCAAAAATGGTTAAAGCATTGATTGGAGTGGGAGACTGTAGGGGTACAGCACTGCCAATGTGTGGAGTCTTGATGCTTGTGTAAGCTGCTATTCTTGCCTTTGCTGGACTTACCTCTGTAGGTTGTCCATTTTGTCTGCCAAGTGTCCTTTTGGAAATCTAGCCACTAACTTAAACTAGTAAATAAGCCCAGGGAGCTTTAGGTTAGATAATCAGTATGCTGCAGAGCAGCCAATGTTCTAGTACTTTCACTTATTAAAGATCTAGGTAGGAGTTATAAAACACATTTAGTGATTTTTTTTTTTCCTGAGGAAACTTTTGCCATTGTTGAATAATGCTGAACGATCCTAGAGTCCGAAGTCTCTACATGTGTAGAACAACAAGCTATGAATTAGCTGTTAGCACTCGGAATGGGATTTTGGAGTTGTGCATCTCTGAAGCATCAGCTCAGCAGCATTCAAAAAAAAGTGTCGAAGGGACGATCAGAAGTGTTACAGAAGATATTAAGCAAAACTGGATGGCGTTATCCTTAGTACACAGTTCTGATTATCCCCTCACAAGAATAGCATAATAGGTCAGAAGAGATTCAGAGAATGGCAGCAAGGATAATCAGCCGTATTGACTAGCTTTCACATGAGGACAAAACTAAACAAATTAGGACTATCGAATATGGAAAAGAAGCGACTGTGGAGGATATGTTAGAAAGTGAGGGTTAGAATGAAAAAGATGAAACTGGGAAATGGCTGTTCATTGTCTCTCACGAGAAGAAATAGGAAGCACTGACTGTAATTATCAGGCAAAGGTTATACTTTTTTAGGCAACGTGTAATTTGAGCTTTGGAATTTATTGCTGTAAGAGATTGAGGAGGCTAAAAGTATTAAATGGATTTAAAAAGGTACGGGGCAAATTCTTTATGTCCACGAGTGGCTATTTAGCACAATGGATTGGAGAATACTTCGGTCTTGGATCTTTAAACATCAGGTTCTTGGGACCTGGGAAGGTAAACTGGGGTAAGAGAGTCTTCAAAACTTGCATTGTTCTTACGTTCCCTTTCCAAACATCTGATACTGGCTGTTCAGAGAACTAGGGCAATGGATGAACATCTCCAGCCCAGCGTGGCATTTCGCCTGTTCTTAGACACCAGAAGCCTTATTAGTGGAAGCCTGCAGTTATCCCCCACAAAACGCCTGCCGTTATAGTATTATCAGTTGTAAGGATAATTGTGTGAGATCCACCTATCTGGCTGGCTACGGGAAGTCGTATATGAGAAGTTCCAGTAAGTGGAAGTGAGGATCACTGAAAGAATAAAGGCCTTGTGTTTCATGTGTAGCTTCTCATCTTGTTGCTGTCTTTTCTTAAACAAGCTCATCCTTCTTTTCTTCTTCTCTTTCAAGTTCATGTGAAAGGGACCTTTTTCTCTATATTAGTGTAAGGCAGTGGTTCTGGTACTACTGTCTGTGTAGAAATGGTCACATGATTCTCTGTTTCTTCCTTGGCTCCAGTTAATAAATTGCATTAGAAGTGACTAAAATACATTAAACGCCTTCCTCATGCATTCTCGTATTTTCTATTATTAGCTGCGGCTAAAATTGCCATAAGCATATCATGTCATCAGCTCTGAGTGTTCCTGGGTAAGGCTGCAGTGAGGAATAGTGAAAATTGTTAAAGAGCCTTCATGTGTTACTTCAGAAACTAACATAATATCTTAATGTTGTGCATTTCTTAGGTTTCTTTTCCCCCCTTCTGGGAGGATGCTAAGTGGACCTGTGGGAACTGATACAAATTTGATATTACTCTTTGCAAGCATGAGGGTCAAAATGGTGTTGGTGTTGCCATGATCATTTGAGGATGCTTAAGAAGAAATAACGCTGAAGGTGAAGGCTAATGCAATTGTAAGGAATGAATTTAGAAGCCAGCTGCCTAACGGATTATTAAGGCAGGATATGATTGTATGGTATGGCAAAAGTGCTGGCAAGGAGGTTGTAATTGCACTGTCATAGAAACCCACAGCCAAAAGTCAGAGCTTGATTGTGAATTACTGTATTGTCATGTACATTAAAGGTTGAGACAAAGCTCTGTATGACCTAGAGTCAAAAGGAGTTCCATCTCTGACTTCTGTGAAATTAGGACTTCACCTCAGGTTTCTCAGCCAGCCAGCCAGCCAAACACCTGAGGTCACTTCTGTGTAAAATCATCCACAGTTCTCTTTGTCCTTTCTTTCCTTTCCCTATCTGTCTCTTCCAAACCCTTACTTGTTTTTCTGTTTTGATTCTCTCTTTCCTTGGCAAGAGCTCCCTTTAATGCAGAAAGCTATTTTATATTTTTGTTCTTATTTGGAAGGCAGCAGTTGTAACAAAATAAATAATGAAATTAAGTGAGGCAGTAGTGGGATGGAAGAAGGAAGAAAGGGAACTGTGAGCAAAATGAAGAAGCAGTGTCCAAACTTGCCATCGCTGAAGTCGGTGACAAAACTCCTGTTAGCTTGCAATCAATTACTTAAAAGTACATGTGCATGTTCCTTACAGGTTGACCTCATGCGCACCTTTACTTTCCGCAACTCCAAGCAGACATACACAGGAATTCCCATTATAGTGGCGAACATGGACACTGTGGGAACATTTGAAATGGCTGTGGTTATGGCTAAAGTAAGTCTTGAGTCTCACTTCTGCAACAGTTGGGAAGTTATTGGGTGACAGCAAATGGCCCCTGTTTGTTTTTAGCTAAGCTTATTGGAGGATGAGTTAGACCATCCAGAATGAGAAAGTGTGCTTTCACTGCAAAACAGTGGTGCTTTTAAAGCAAGACATGAACCCCAAGACAGGGCTTCAGGAGTAAAATAGTTTCAGTGGAGATGTTTAATGAGACATTTCTACCTTGGTAGTATCTCAGCTTCGGGTGGAGGCTTCTAGAGCAGGCAGTTTTTGAGGTGTGTTTTGTGTTCGGTGCCAGAGAAATTTTATTAACGGACAAGGGATTTGAATCTGTCAGTTACTGGATAAGGTTGCAGCAGTCAGGAGTCATTAATTAATTAGCCTCTGGCCTCATCAAGCCTTACCTTAATCTCCTGCAGCGCATAGGCATATGCAAAATATTGGACCGTAACTTGGTTAAACTTATCAGAAGCCTAATCCTGAAAGATCTGCTAACTGTCCTAAGCCATCTTTGAAAAGCCATTTGGAGTTGTTTGGTTGTTACTCTTATGCACTGTTTCTAATTCTTTCAAGCAAGATGAGCCTATACGTAAAATGAGAGTTTCTGATCCTGTTAATTCTGCAGCTGAGGGAAAGATGACTGACTTGGACATTAATATCAGTTTTCTTATTTTTGCTAGCATGCAATGTTCACTGCAATTCACAAGCATTATTCTCTGGAAGAATGGAAACTGTTTGCTGCCAGTCACCCAGAATGCCTTGAGGTACATTTTCATACTGTAAATTACTATGGTTTGTTGCTTTGTACTGAATTCACATACACTGGGGTCTCTTGTGAATACTGTTGTCAAGTGAGGCTTTGGGGAATTAAGATATCTGCTGTTCTTAAATGCATCAAGGGAAGTGGATTGTCTGGGTTTAAAAAGAAAGCTGTGCAGCTCCATTGTGAAAGTGCATATATTAAGATGCACAAAGCAAAGTTTGTGTACACCTAAAATGGAAAGAGAGAAGTATCATGAGCAAACAAGAAGGGAGTTATGTAGGAGTTGGTCTAACTGTTGTGCTCCTGTTGCTGTTGGAAGCTGTGGTAGTGCTGGTGAGGGAGGAGCCCAAGATCATAAACACAAATGCAACTCAGCTACAAGCTGGCCCCACGTGCCCTCGTTCTAGGCGGGGACTTGACTCTCAGGTATGCAAGCAGTCCCAGTTCCTGTGGGCTGGAGTGGCCCAGGCGCTGGGCCTCAAAAATAGGAGAGGCAGGGATGAGCGCTAAAGTTGTCAGAGCGTACATGTGTTCTCCATTTCCCTTCTTGCGCTAGAGCTCATGCTGTGCCACTAACTGTGCTACACCCCTCGTTCACGGGGTCCTAGCCTGAACTATTACAAAGAGACACCACTTAATACATTTAAACATCTGTTTAGGTTCAGACTTTTTACACACCCAAATTTCTTCTGTATTCTTGTGGCAGACCCATATTCCAAGAGAGAGAGTTTCAGTGGGAGAGCATGCTTGGCTGTCTCTCCTCCCCCATAAAGTTCAATGCAGTTTTGAAGAGTTTTCCTGTTTGAAAAAGAATGCCACACAGCTGTATTGTATCATCACCTGTGCTTCATTTTGGAATTATAATGTAAAGATTATTGATTACTGGAGTGTCTGAAAGCCAGCCTGTCCTTTAGGTTCATCAGGGCTTTTTATATGTTACTGTGGTCCCAGGAACATACAGTATCTGAACACTCTCATTTAGATAGCTCATTTTGTGGTTCATAATCATTGCATTAGACTCTCCTAGTGATTAAATACTGACTTCCTCTTTGACCTTGGATCTCTGCAGAGGTTTTATGGGCGTCAGCTGTGGAAGCTATTTTTTTTTATTGGAAATAACTCATACGAAGACAAAGGAGGAAGGAATCTGCTTGTTTTTGAGGGTAGATCAAGGGAGGGTTCGGTGAACTGAAAGGTCCAAACGCCAATGTGACAGTGCCCAGTTTTTGCCACTCTGCATTCCTGGAAACCTACCAAGTTAAGGCTCCTATGTTTTTTGTTAATCTGAGTGCTGTTGAGCCTTCACCCATCTCAGGTGATTATATTTGTCTATGAGAATCCACTTGTCAATGAAGAGCTCATAAAACGCTAATTTTGCTTTATTTAAGAGCCTTTAAACAGAACACAGGTAGCAAATTGATATTCCCAGAAAGGTATTTATGTTACATACTATGACTTTCACTAGTTTCCAGCACAGGTTTCCCTTGAAGTCCCCCCGAGACTATGCAGAAGCAGATTTATGGAGTGTGTATTTATCCCAGTTTTTTTACAAACAATGCACCATTTGTTCTCCTTCTGTCTTTCTAGCATGTAGCTGTAAGCTCAGGCAGTGGAAAAGCTGATCTGGACAAGCTAAAAAGTATTCTAGAGGCCATTCCACCTATCAGATTCATCTGCTTGGATGTGGCAAATGGCTATTCAGAGCACTTTGTGGAGTTTGTGAAGTCTGTCCGTGCCCTGTTCCCAAATCACACCATTATGGTAAGTGTGTTGAGTGTGTTGAAAGGAGAAGAGGATGCAAGTTCTGTCCAGGAACAGGGCCCAGGGTTTGGTTAGCAGGCATCAGCAGCTCTGCCGTATTTCCATCAGTTCTGAGCCCTCATTTAAAAAAAAAAAAAAAAGAAAGAAAAAAAAGAAAAAAGAAAAAAAGTGTTCTCTAATGGTCTGGCTCAAGCCTCCTGTCTTCAGGACAAATTTATGTGGACAGATGTCCTTCTAAGAATATAGAGGGCAGCTCTAT